TTTTATACCCTATACCAGGAACGTACCCCATTTTTTAATACCCTATACCAGGAACATACCCCATTTTTTTTTTAATACCCTATACCAGGAACATGCCCCACTATTTACAACCCTACCGAAGAGAGTGGTGGGATGTGCGGATTCATGAGACCGTCCTGTCCCGACTTCTACAATCCAATCCCATGGGAGCAGGAAATCTGGTCACATGGCCAAAGATGTGAAATGCCAACAAAATGGAAACATCATCAAATGAGGAAGACAGATGGAGTTGAAGCGTACGTATCTACCCCCCCCCCCCCCCCGTTTAGGGATGGGTGTTCCAGTCTGACGTAGCAGATCACGCCGTTTACCTCTCCATCCAAAATGGGCAAAGACATCAGCAAAGGATCATCTTCTGCCCCGTCCCGAGACAAGGTCCTCCAGCACCGAGACAAAGGTCCCCCATCACCCATGGCAAAGGAGCTAAACATCCCCCCCATTATGTTGGATTTTACGGGATGCTACCACTTGAATCAGAATGAGCTCACTGGCGCCCCCCATCCATACAGTAAGCAGCCGCCCCTCCTGCCCACCCCTTGGCCCGACACTTGGATGAGCAGCGATAGGTCTTTAAAAAAAAAATCCAACTGCATATGACTGCTAAGGGAAATATAAATCATGGTGGAGCTTCCAATAAATGTCGAAGATTCAGTCCCTGAGAGGTCCCAAAAGTGGGCAAAATTCCAGAAAGAAATAACGGGGCTTTCAAGAGATCACCGGGAAAGAAGACAGAAAAAGGGGGACAACCAAAGTCTTATTGTGTACAAACGGGGCGACTCCAGGTCAGCCGGGGGTAGAGCTGTGTGGATGTACGCTGTGACGGGAGTGACTTTTGGGGGTGGGGAGACCCCTGTCTCAGCTCCCCATGTTCCTCTTATGTGTAAGTCACCCTGTGCCTGTTAAGGGTACATGGTGAAATGTCACCCTGAAATGTCACCCTGTACCCCTAACAGGCACAGGGTGACTTACACATAATGGGAACATGGGGAGCCGAGACAGAGGTCCCCCCACCCCCAAAAGTCACTCCCGTCACATACGCCATTGGGTATACATTTCGTTTTTCCCCTTCTGGTGGATGAATTGGATGGACTTGCGTCTTATCAACCAGATGTAACAGCCGTCTCTCTAAAACAACAAAAATATAACAAATGGCTAAAACCCCGTACTGATACAGGCGTATACGAACGAGGAACGTCAGAAAATCGGTACGCTCTACGCGTTTCGCCTTGTATGAAGACATGACACTTGTGCCGAAACATGAATCAAATAGCTGCAGGATGGAACCGAGATGATATAAATCATATCCAACCAATAATGCTGAAATATCAAATCGATACACGGGATGGAACCGAGATAAATTAATATCCAACCAAAGAAGCGTACAATCAGGAAACCGTCCAAGAGAGAGAATTTTTTTTTTTGGGGGGGGGGGGGGGAATCAAATCCCTCCATACATAGTGATGTGGATGGACCTCCAATCCTTCCCTATTATCTCGGTTCCATCCCGTGTATCTATTTAATATTTCAGCACAAGTGTTACTTCTTCATTCAGTCACGGTATTGAAGCGAAACGCGTCGACTATCAATTTCTAACGTCCTCTTTTGTATACGCCTGTATACCTGATTGATATTCTTGTGCTGAAATAGGAATCAAAAAGATACATGATGGAACCAAGATAATAAAGGGGTAGGGGGTCCATATGCTGTCCACCATACTGCCCCGAACTACATCACTGACCTAATATCCAAGTACCGCCCAACACGCACGCACAGTCCGCTCCTCACAAGACCTCCTTCTCTCTAGTTCCCTGGTCTCCTCCTCCCATGCCCGCCTCCAGGACTTCTCCAGGGTGTCACCCATCCTCTGGAACTCCCTGCCCTAACCCATCAGATTATCACCTACTCTCCTCTCCTTTAGGCACACCCTGAAAACCCATCTCTTCAGGGAAGCCTACCCCACCCCCTGCTAACTTGCCGACCTCCTCCACTCTTCCTACCACTCCATCCCCCACAGCTATCTCCTCCTGTGCCACCCATCCCCCCCTCCTAGATTGTAAGCTCCAAGGAGCAGGGCCCTCAATCCCCTCATGTTTTGCATTGTATTGTTCTGTCACATGTTCTGTCCCCCTCTGTAATGTACAGCGCTGAGCGAACTATCGGCGCTTTATAAATACTGTATAATAATTATAAATAATATGCGGAGCTCCCGCCCAATTTTTTTTTTTCGTATCTCTGCTCTCTTGGACGGTTTCTTGATTGTGTGCTTCTTTGGCGGTTATTGGTTGTATATTATTTATGTTATCTCGGTTCCATCCTATGTATCGATTTGTGTGATAATTCAGCACAAGTGTAATTTCTTCATTCAAGGTATACAGGGTCCTGAGGAAGCCGAGTTCTCCACGAAACGCGTAGCCCGTATTGGTTTCTAACACCCTTCTTTGTATATTTATGGTGTTTTAGCCATTATATATTTGTAATTTTTGGGTCAGCTGATGTCTACTTGTAGACAATACAAAGATTTTGGTTTTGATATTTCAGCACAAGTGTAATTTCTTCCTTCAGGGAGTACAGGGTATTGAAGAGTCGAAACGCGTAGACTATTTCTAACATCCTTTTTGGTATACGCCTGTATAACTGATTGATATTCTTGTGCTGAAATATAAATCAAAAAGATACATGATAGAACCAATAGGGAGGGGTAGGGGGTCCATATGCAGAGTTCCCGCCCAATTTTTTCCCCCCCCATCTATCTGCTCTCTTGGACGGTTTCTTGATTGTGTGCTTCTTTGGCTGTTATTGGTTGTATATTTGTTATCTCGGTTCCATCCCGTGTATCAATTTGTTTGATATTTCAGCACAAGGCATACAGGGTCCTGAGGAAGCCGAGTTCTCCACGAAACGCGTAGCCCGTAGAGATTTCTAACACCCTTCTTGGTATATTTATGGTGTTTTAGCCATTTTTATATATTTGTAATTTTAGGGGCAGCTGATGTCCACTTGTAGACAATACAAAGACATTGGTTTTGATATTTCAGCACAAATGTAATTTCTTCATTCAAGGAGTACTGGGTATTGAAGAATCGAAACGCGTAGACTATTCAAACATCCTTTTTGGTATACGCCTGTATAACCATGATGGATATTATTGTGCTGAAATATAAATCAAAAATCAAAATGAGACATGATGGAACCAAGATAATAGGGAGGGGTTGGGGGTCCATATGCTGAGTTTTGAGCGCTCCACCCAATTTTTTCCCCATTTCTCCCCCTCTTGTATGCTTTTTTGGTTGGATATTATTATATTATCTCGGTTCCATCCTGTGTATCGATTTGATATTTCAGCACAAGTGTAATTTCTTTCTTCAAGGAGTACAGGGTATTGAAGTAGCGAAACGCGTAGACTATCAATTTCGAACATCTTTTCTTGTATAGGTCTGCATAACTGATTGATATTCTTGTGCTGAAATATAAATCAAAAAGATACATGATGGAACCAAGATAATAGGGAGGGGGGTAGGGGGTCCATATGTTGAGCTCCCGCCCAATTTTCTTTTTTGTATCTCTGCTCTCTTGGACAGTTTCTTGATTGTGTGCTTCTTTGGCTGTTATTGGTTGTATATTATTTGTTATCTCGGTTCTATCCTGTGTATGAATTTGTGTGATCTTTCCACACAAGGCATACAGGGTCCTGAGGAAGCCGAGTTCTCCACGAAACGCGTAGCCCGTATTGATTTCTAACACCCTTCTTTGTATATTTATGGTGTTTTAGCCATTATTATATATTTGTAATTTTAGGGGCAGCTGATGTCCACTTGTAGACAATACAAAGACATTGGTTTTGATATTTCAGCACAAATGTAATTTCTTCATTCAAGGAGTACAGGGTATTGAATAATCGAAACGCGTAGACTATTTCTAACATCCTTTTTTGTATAGGTCTGTATAACTATGATTGATATTCTTGTGCTGAAATAGGAATCAAAGAGATACATGATGGAGCCAAGATAATAGGGAGGGGTTAGGGGGTCCATATGCCGAGTTCCCGCCCAATTTTGTTTCGTCTTTCCGTTCTCTTGGACGGTTTCTTGATTGTGTGCTTCTTTGGTTGGATCTTGTTATCTCGGTTCCATCCTGTGTATCTATTTGATATTTCAGCACAAGTGTAATTTGTTCATTCAAGGAGTACAGGGTATTGAAGAATCGAAACGCGTAGCCCGTATTGATTTCTAACACCCTTCTTTGTATCCCCCTGTATATATTTATGGTGTTTTAGCCGTTTTTATATATTTGTAATTTCAGGGGCAGCGGATGTCCACTTGTAGACAATACAAAGACTTTGGGTATAACCTATGGCTATGTATCCATTGTGGGGGATAGAATGAAAGTCCTCTCATCTCTTTCTGGAATTTTTTCTTCCCTACTGTGACCGGGATAAATGGAAACCATCATGAATGAAGTGGAACTACCCTACGCTTGCTCTTGCCGCAGTGCGGAACTATCTGGTGCCCTCAGGATGGTGTCAAAAGTGCTATGAAACGAGATTTTCTGCCCCGATTGTGCAATTCACAGCCTTGAAGACCATAAATATGAGTAGAAGTCCATTAGGTGGGCACAAGGCCGAAGGTCATCAAAGCTGATAATTCTCTAAATGGTACAAAGTGTCTGGAGGGGCATGGTCAGCGTAGGACACCCCAGAAGTATAGAGCAGTGGGCTGTCCTCCTTGACGGCCATATTGCACACACGTTGGTGCTTCAGAGAAGCAGAATGGGACCTAAAGGTCTTCCCGCATAACCGGCAGAAATACGGGCATTCTCCCGTGTGTGTCCTCAAGTGCTTCACCAAGTCTGACTTCTGTACAAACCCTCTCGCACACTCTTCACACTTGTACGGCCGCTCCCCGCTGTGCGTCCTCGAGTGTTTGACGACCGCCGAGCGGTCGATGAATCGTTTGTCGCAGAAGTCACATTTGTAGGGTTTTTTCGCCCGTGTGGGTTCTGATGTGCTTCGCCAGGTCGGAGTTCTGGATGAACCCCTTCTGACAGATGGGGCAGCGGTAAGGCTTGTCGCCGGTGTGCGATCGCATGTGTTTGACCAGAGCTGACCGCTGACTGACCACCTTCCCGCATACGGTACAAGTATGCGGCTGCTGTGCTCTGTGAGTGGCTCTGTGGACCCGGAAAGCAGAGTTGTCGGTGAACGTTTGGTCGCAGTGCGGGCAAGCGTACACCTTCGTCTTTGCGACTGATGCCTTGCGTTCTGCCGAAGATGAGAGGATGCTCTTCAAACTGCTAAGAGGCCTGGCCACCGCAGAACCCACGTGGAGCTTTGGTACCAAACTTCTGGGGTCGTCCTCAGATTCTCCCCAATACGTGATTGGCTGGTGCAGATTTGAGGGAACAGGAAGAGAGCTTCCCTCCATTTCAGTCCCGGGAGCTGTAAGGTGCTTCTGCTGGTGTTTAGCCAAGCTGGACTTCTCAATGAAGCTTCTACCGCAGACACTGCAGCTATACGGGCGTTCGCCCGTGTGCGTGCGATAATGTTTTACGAGATCCGACTTCTGGATGAAGCCTTTTTCGCACACGTTACAGACGTAAGGGCGTTCCCCTGTATGAATACGTAAATGTTTAACGAGCACCGACCGGTGGCCAAAGGTTTTCCCACACTCGCTGCATGGAAACAACCTCTCTCTGCTAATGTCTGCTTTCTCCTTGGGCAACGGTAGACCGACCTTCTCATCGTGGCCAACTGTAATGATGGAAATCTCTTCTAAAAAATCGGAGGTCTGCTGTTTTTGGACATTGTGCCCCTTCAGGTGTCTATGAAGGTTTGAGCTGCAGCTAAAGCCCTTTCCGCACTCGCTGCACGAAAAGGGCTGAACTCTGTTGTGGATCCTCCGGTGTTTGGCCAACGAGGACGCCTCGGTAAAGCTCTTGTAACATTCAGGACAATGGAAAGGCTTTTCACCGGAGTGAATCCTTTGGTGCTTCACCAGGTCCGACCTCTGGATGAAACCCTTGTTACACTCCGTACATTGGTATGGCCGAACCCCCGTGTGGGTTCGAAGATGTTTCACCAAATCGGAAGTCTGAAAGAAGCTCTTGGGGCACCTGTCACACAAGTACTGTTTCTCGGCGTTGTGAGTTCGGAGATGTTTTCTAAGGCTGGTTTTGTGGGGGAAGGTTTTGGCGCATTCTGGGCACTGGTGCGGGAGACCCTTCTGCTCAGCGTTGTTCGGGTTAACAGGGTCTACGAGGACAATCTCATGGAAGGCGGTAGCAGCAGGTGGGGTCTCTGTAGAGTGGACCTCGAGGTGCTTGACCAAATCCAAACTTTGCTTGAAGGTTCTTTTACAATGCGGACAGTGGTACGGCCTCTGCACTGCATGAGTTCTGCGATGTTTTGCCAGCGACGAGCCTTCCGTGAACCTTTTATTACATTCCGGGCAGTGATAAGGTTTCTCTCCGCTGTGAATTCTTTGGTGTTTGACCAAGTCGGAGTTTTGGATGAAGCTTTTACTGCACTGGTCACAGGAATAAGGTTTTTGCACCAAGTGAGTCCTCATGTGCTTGTTTAAGGAAGACCGATGGATGAAGGCTTTGTCGCAGATGTTGCACTGGAACGCCCTTTCCCCCGTGTGGCATCTGATGTGTTTAATTATAGCTGACCTCTCTGTGAAGGTCTTATCACAGTGCTGGCACGAGTAAGGGCTCTGTCCATCGTGAGTTCTCCAGTGTTTCTGGAGGTCGCTTTTCTGTTCGAAACTCTTTTGGCACAAGACGCAACAATGGCGTCTCGCTGAATGGTGGCTCTGGCAATGTCTCAAATATGTGGCCTTCTGAATAAAGGTAATGTTGCAGTCTTGGCACCGAAAGAGCTGGTCATTGCAGTGCAACTTTTTATGCTTCAAAAACCTCGACAACTGCATGAAGGACTGACCACACTCGACACATTCGTAAGAGAGGGAAAGCCCATCCGCTGAGCTCTGTTGTCTAAAGTGGACCCTCTGGTGTTTCAGAAGGTCCGACTTCTGTATGAAGCGCTGATTGCACTGAAGACACATAAATGGCCGCTCTCCGTTGTGGCTCCTCTGATGTAATATTAGAGTCGACCTTTGAGTGAAACCTTTCCCGCACTCCGTACACTTGTAGGGTTTATCTTTGCTATGGACCTTCTGGTGTTTGGATAAAGCCGACCTTTCGGTGAAGGTCTTCTGGCAAAGCGCGCACCGATAGGGACGTTCCCCCGTGTGCGTCCGAAGATGTTTCACCAGGTCTGACCTCTGAATGAAGCCTTTGTGGCACTCCTGGCACCGGAAAGGCCGCTCTCCAGAGTGGGTCCACATATGCTTCTTCAGGTCAGAGTTCTGGATAAAGGCCTTCTCACACTGCGGACACTGGAAGGATCTCTGCCTCGAGTGCACCTGTTGGTGCCGAACAAATGACGTCCGATGCCTGAAAGACTTTCCGCAACGAGCGCAACTGAAAGGAGAATCTTTTGGGTGAATTTCTTCTTGCTTGCACTTGGTAGGTTCTGCTCTGCTCCGCGCATTGTTGGAGACCTTTTTATGAACTTCCATATGTCTAAGGAGGACGGTTTTGGAGGTGAAGCTTTTCGGACACTCAGCGCAGCGGTAAGGGCGGTCGCCGCTGTGCGTCCTCTTGTGTTTCATCAAAGAGGAACTTTCCGCAAAACCGTTTATCGCAAATGGAGCAGCTGTAAGGTTTTTCCCCTGTGTGGGTACGATGGTGTTTCACCAGGTCCGAGTTCTGAATGAAGGACTTGCCGCAGACGGTACATGGATAAGGCCTGTGCCCGGTGTGTGTCCTGAGATGCTTCGTTAAGGTGGACCTCTGAGTGTACGTTTTATGGCACAGTGGGCACTTGTAAGGCCTATTCATATTAGGAGCCCGCTGGTGGCTGAGCAGAGAGGACTGCCCCTGAGGAGGCTGGGTATTCTTGTGTTTCAGCAGGTCGGTGTTCTGTGTAGAGTTACATAGAGAGCTCCATTGGGGTCTCTTCATCTTGCAGCAACTTTGATGCCTCTCAACTGTTTGGTAGCAGCTGAAGTTTTTCCCGCAGTGACAACAGATATGAGGTTTTTCTTCGGGGGTCACATCATATGAGATGTTAAGAAGAGGGAATTCCGGCATCTCTCCTCTTCCACCTTTATTCCCGAAGGCAGGAGGTCACCGGCCAGATCTTCACCATGAAGCATTTCCCCAAGACCCAGATGATCACATCCATCTCCGGCTTCTCTCTTAAGAGGTCCATCTGTCAGGAGAGATATGGAAAGGAGAATTGTTATCCACGAACATGAAGGCCACAAAAATAAAGATCTAAAAACAAAAAAAATTTTAGTTTTTTTTCCCCATTTTGAAAACAGAAGCGAATAGTTACCCCTGTCAGATGTTTTTTTTGCCATCTAAGTTCTAATGAGGGAATTTGACTTCGCTTCCCGTCCTATATGCACAACAGGAAGTGAGAGGAAACATCTCCATAGTGAAGGAGTTGTCCTCTAAGATAACTGCCACCAGAACAGGTGTCCTCTAAGATAACTGCCACCAGAAACAGGTGTCCTCTAAGATAACTGCCACCAGAACAGGTGTCCTCTAAGATAACTGCCACCAGAACAGGTGTCCTCTAAGATAACTGCCACCAGCAAAGGTGTCCTCTAAGATAACTGCCACCAGCAAAGGTGTCCTCTAAGATAACTGCCACCAGCAAAGGTGTCCTCTAAGATAACTGCCACCAGCAAAGGTGTCCTCTAAGATAACTGCCACCAGAACAAGTGTCCTCTAAGATAACTGCCACCAGAACAAGTGTCCTCTAAGATAACTGCCACCAGAACAAGTGTCCTCTAAGATAACTGCCACCAGAACAAGTGTCCTCTAAGATAACTGCCACCAGAACAAGTGTCCTCTAAGATCACTGCCACACCAGAACAAGTGTCCTCTAAGATAACTGCCACCAGAACAGGTGTCCTCTAAGATAACTGCCACCAGAACAAGTGTCCTCTAAGATAACTGCCACCAGAACAGGTGTCCTCTAAGATAACTGCCACCAGAACAGGTGTCCTCTAAGATAACTGCCACCAGCAAAGGTGTCCTCTAAGATAACTGCCACCAGCAAAGGTGTCCTCTAAGATAACTGCCACCAGAACAGGTGTCCTCTAAGATAACTGCCACCAGAACAAGTGTCCTCTAAGATAACTGCCACCAGAACAAGTGTCCTCTAAGATAACTGCCACCAGAACAGGTGTCCTCTAAGATAACTGCCACCAGAGAACAGGTGTCCTCTAAGATAACTGCCACCAGAACAGGTGTCCCTAAGATAACTGCCACCAGCAAAGATGTCCTCTAAGATAACTGCCACCAGAACAAGTGTCCTCTACGATAACTGCCACCAGAAACAGGTGTCCTCTACGATAACTGCCACCAGAAAGGTGTCCTCTAAGATAACTGCCACCAGAAAAGGTGTCCTCTACGATAACTGCCACCAGAAAAGGTGTCCTCTAAGATAACTGCCACCAGAACAAGTGTCCTCTAAGATAACTGCCCACCAGAACAAGTGTCCTCTAAGATAACTGCCACCAGAACAGGTGTCCTCTAAGATAACTGCCACCAGAAAAGGTGTCCTCTAAGATAACTGCCACCCGAGAAAGAGGTGTCCCTAAGATTCCACTTTTTATCCTGGTGACAAATCAAAATTTTGTATTTCCCACCACTTTCTGTTTCAGGTCACCAGGACAAAAAGGTGTGAAATCTCCCCCACCAGAACAAGTGTCAAAAGATAACTGCCACCAGAGTGTCACCAGAAAAGGTTTCCACTTTTTATCCTGGTGACAAATCAAAATTTTGTATTTCCCACCACTTTCTGTTTCAGGTCACCAGGACAAAGAGGGGTGAAATCTCCCCCAGCCGAGACAGACGGCAAAATAAACCCGCCAGAGGTTCTAACCCTACCAACACTACAAATGAAGGATTTTTGTACTCATCCTGAAAACCGTTTATTTGGAGTCCATTGAAGGAGACAGGAATTCAGATACTGTTGGGTTACACTGCTACCTACAGGAGCATCGGACACTAGCAAACAAAAAAAATTGTAGGCCGGCCCAGGATAATCTCTCCTCTGCTAAGCAGGCCTCGGTTTGCAGCAAGCAGCACCAAGAGTATGAATCCAACATAGAGGGGTGGGACATGTGTGGACCTCAATGGACTCCAATAAACAAATTTTAGGGTTAATACAAAAATCTCATTTTCTTCCTCATATCTTGAGGGACACAGAAGTCCAGATGTTGTCATGTTGTCTAAAAGCAGCTCAATGGAAGGGTAAGTCAGCAACAACCACTAACAGGTGAAGAAGAATGAAGAAGGAGGAGGAAAGGAGGAAGAGGAAGGAGGAAAGAAGGAGGAAGGAGGGAGGGAGGGAGGAAGGAGGAAAGAAGGAGGAAAGAAGGAGGGAGGGAGGGAGGGAGGAAGGAGGAAAGAAAGAAGGAGGGAGGGAGGGAGGAAGGAGGAAAGAAGGAGGGAGGGAGGGAGGAAGGAGGAAAGAAGGAGGGAGGGAGGGAGGAAGGAGGAAAGAAGGAGGAAGGGAGGAAGGAGAAAGGGAGGAAGGAGGAAGGGAGGAAGGAGGAAGGGAGGAAGGAGGAAGGGAGGAAGGAGGAAGGGAGGAAGGAGGAAGGGAGGAAGGAGGAAGGGAGGAAGGAGGAAGGGAGGGAGGAAGAGGAAGGAAGGAAGGAAGGAAGGAAGGAAGGAAGGAGGGAGAAGGAAGGGAGAAGGAAGAAAGGAGAAGGAAGAAAGGAGAAGGAAGAAAGGAGAAGGAAGAAAGGAGAAGGAAGGAAGGAGAAGGAGGAAGGAAGGAAAGGAAGGAAGGAAGGAGAAGGAGAAGGAAGGAAGGAAGGAGAAGGAAGGAAGGAAAGGAGAAGGAAGGAAGGAGAAGGAAGGAAGGAGAAGGAAGGAAGGAGAAGGAAGGAAGGAGAAGGAAGGAGAGAGGAAGGAAGGAAGGAAGGAAAGGAGGGAAGGAGGGAAGGAAGGAGAAGGAAGAAACGAAGGAGAAGGAAGAAACGAAGGAGAAGGAAGAAACGAAGGAGAAGGAAGAAACGAAGGAAGGAGAAGGAAGAAACGAAGGAGAAGGAAGAAACGAAGGAGAAGGAAGAAACGAAGGAGAAGGAAGAAACGAAGGAGAAGGAAGAAACGAAGGAGAAGGAAGAAACGAAGGAGAAGGAAGAAACGAAGGAGAAGGAAGAAACGAAGGAGAAGGAAGAAACGAAGGAGAAGGAAAAAGGGAAAATAGGAGGAGGAAAAAAGCAGTGGCTTAATGGTTAGCACATCTGCCTTGTAGTAAGTGGGTTATGGGTTCGATTCCCGACCATGGTATCTCCTGCATGGAGTTTGCATGTTCTCCCTGTGCTTGCGTGGGTTTCCTCCGGGTACTCCGGTTTCCTCCCACCCTCCAAAGACATGCTGGGAGGTGAATGGATTCCTGTCCAAAATTGGCCCTAATATGTGTATGTATGAATGAACGTTAGGGACTTTAGACTGTATGCCCCTCGGGGGCGGGGACTGATGTGAATGTACAATATATATATATAATGTAAAGCGCTGTGTAAATTGACAGCGCTATATAAGTACCTGAAATAAATGAGGAAAGAAGGAAGGAAGGAAGAAGTTACCAAAGGAGGCCGAGCCCCCTTTCAGACAGGGTAACCTGCCAACATGGCCAGAGGGATGACATAGAAATAAATTAGAAGCTCATGACTGACATGGAGAAAGCCACCTCCAGAATGGCTCCACATGGAAGAGAACACTAAAAACCGTGAGTAAGCAAGAAGCTCATCGACCAGAACACACCAAAAACAGGTGGAACAGTTAATTGCTATATAGAGAAAAAAAGACCTACAACCTGATGTGGTCAACAAGGAACAGACCTAGCAAGTAAAAACAGGTTCTGCTGAGAAGACCGGCCAATCTATGGGGAAAGGCCCTTCCTTAAGCCTTTCCACCCTTGACCTACTAGGATCAAGGGAGGAGAACTCTGTCTCTAAAGAGAAAGTCTGGTCAACTTAGACCTACCAGGGAATCCCCGAAATCACAGCAACCTACAACAGTGTGGTGACTCCTAGAAGTGCCGGAGAACTTAGCAGTTTCAATCCCATGAAGTCATCATAGCTAAAAGGAGTAGAGCACATGGAAGCACCCCCAGCAGGAGTAGGCAGTGGAATAGAGGTAGACCTCAGTCTCAGACTGGCAAGATGGGAACAACCAGATGAATCTAACTTCTTCCTCTGGGTCAGCGGTTCTCAACCTGGGGGTCGCCTAAGACCATCGGAAAACACATATTTCCGATGGTCTTAGGAACCCAGACACCGCTCCTGTCTCCGGTGATGTGTGGGCGGGATGATATGCTGCCCCTGTCACCGCCCTCCTCGCCGCTGATTGGCCACCGGAACTGTAGCTCAGGAGAGGCACACAGGCGGCCAATCACCGGCGAGGAGGTGGAGCTTGGAGAGGAGGAGCCGAGCGGCAGCGCGCGCGGAGATCGAAAGAAGAAGATCGAGGAGATGCTGCAGGAACGAGTGAAGAGAGAGGCCAGAGAAGGAAGACAGCTGACAGGGAAGTGCAAATTTTGCTGCTGCAGCCAGGTATGCAGGCTGTAGATGGGAGAGAGAGAGAGCGAGCCCAGGCTGGAGCAGGAGTCAGCAAGGTAAGTATCATTGGTGTCAGTGGGAGGGATAGTGCCCCATCATTTGTGTCACTAATACCAACGATGGGGCACTATTCCTCCCCCCACTGACACCAACGATGGGGCACTATTCCTCCCACTGACACCAATGATGGGGCACTATTCCTCTTACTGAAACCAATGATGGGGCACTATTCCTCCCACTGACACCAATGAT